AAAAACTAAAATCACTCGTATTTTAAATCTTCTTAAAGTACATACATACGATGATACAAACTGGATAACAAATTGCTTCGCTTCAGCATTAATATACACAAATAATTTGTCTGTATCTGGTTAGTATCAACTACAAACGTGGGATGTAATTTTGTAGCGCGTACTCTGTTATTTGAGAAACATTAAAAATTTTGCAATCTTGTTTTAAGTTGCTCTTCCTTAGAAAGATTTATAAGTTTATTTTTTTAAATACAAAAATGTAGACCAATTTATTAAACAACTTGTTAAAAAGTTTTGTGACTTTAATATATTTTACTTATATAATTCATGTTTTTGATTTACATATGTACATTTATAACGTTCTTACTGTGAAGGAAAACATCGTGATGCTGCACATATCTGAGAAGAAATTCAAAGATATGTGTAAAGTTAACCCGCAGTGGGCCAATGTTATTGACTATCACCTAGACACCTCTAACTTAGGGTAGGCTCTGAGCCTTCAGTGGGGACGTATAGTGAGCTGATGATGTTTATTACAAATTCACCAAACAAAACATCTGTTTCGCTGCTACATGAAAGACGGTGTACAAGATAAATTCACAAATTTCCAAATTTTATTGAACCCTTTGTTTCAGAACGCTAACGATGTATAAAATACGGGATGTTTCGACCTGAATACCTCTTCCTATACAGGGTAATGACCATTTACTAACGTCGTGATATATTGTGATGGAAGACTGTACTGGTTTGTAACAAACTAGCTGTTGCCCGCGACTCCGTCCTGGTTGTCATAAAAATAACTTAATTAGCCTATGTGTTCTTCTAGACAATGTATAGTACACCTTTTTTTACAAAGGGGAATGCGTCACGGTAGTTATGTGGGATTCTCTCCCGGATGGGAAGCATATCCACTAAACCTCTCTGTTCCTCTTACGCATGGCGAGGTTACGGGCACGGTTTCGCTTTTGTCCGCGACCCCGCCTGACTATATTCTACACCTATGCCAAATTTCAGCAAGATCAATACAACCGTTCAGAAGATATCTTCAAACTAGCATACAAACATTCACATTTATAATATTAGTAAGATGATCGTTAAAAATAGCGTAGAAAAAAAAATAATTTCCTTTTTTTGTAGCGAAGATTTCCTTATCGTCTTTATGCCTCTTGTACACTGCTGTAAATGCGAATCGAAAGCTAAACGAAGATAAAATTATATGCAAGATTCAATTGCTTTAGCCCATTGAGAGCTTTGCTTCCATTAGCTTTTTAACGTAAAAATCCTAAGATGTATAAAGCTTTTAACTAAACTTAAGAAGTACAATAGTATTTAACTTGTAACACGTAACCTTACTAATATTATAAAAACGATTGTTTGGATGTATGGATAGATGTTTGTAAGAATGTATCTCCACAACGCCTCTATGGATCTCGCTGAAATTCGGCATAGATGTAGAGCAAAATCTGGAAGAACACATAGGCTACTAATAATCTTATTAATTCCGCGCGGACGTAGTCGATGGCTACAGCTAGGCTTTACTCACATGAGCTTTTTAACATGACCATTCCAAAATGTACCACGAAAAAGAGCTTTTAAACTTAAGAAGTATAATATATGTTTAACTTGTAATATGTAAAAATGTACGCTGTAATTCTAACGTAATAGTTAAAAATTTGTCACCGCCTACGCTAACCTAACAAGAAGGCGGCATATCTTTAGGTGTGAATTACATAAAGCCCATACACCAGTATTGGCGAAGCGATAAATATAGTATACGATATAAGGTTTTAAATCCTAAAGGATATACAGAAATTGCAATACTAAAAAAATACATAGTTAACTAAATCCATAAGAGGGCTCTTACGTAAATTGTCCTAACTCACAATTATGATATTTGTGCAATCTTACTTATATTATAAATGCGAATGTTTGGATAGATGTTTCAAGAGCAACTGGATGGAATTCAATGAAATTTGTCTTAGAGGTAGAGCATAGACTGAAAGAATACATAGGCTACTTAATAAGTTTTAATTAATCGTGCGAATGAAGGCGCGGGCGACAGTTAGTATGTTTTTTCTATTTTTCAATTAGTGTTGTTTTAATTATTATGTTCTTTATAAGCTATATCTTAAAGAGTTCATCTAGTGTGTATCATACTTTATAAAATAAACTCATAAACATGATCGATTGACCAATAGTTACAACATACACGTTCGTTTCGTCAGTATATCGATAGATTTACTATTCGTTGTTGCAAGCGTACCACATTACTAATGTACTCTTTTATCATCTCCCTGTCCTTGTCCAACATACGTAAGGTGGCGAACCAAGTTTCCGTACTCCAACACTATCTGCCTTCATCTCCGTCATGCCCTTCTTAATCATGTCTCCATTTGTAAGGCTACCTCTACCAATGTACTCTTCTATGTCATATATAAATGTTTTCTTTATTTATGGTCAAAATAAATATTCTAAATATTATTACATACCCGTGATATAAGTTTTATTACTTTTGATTTTAAAACCTATGTAAAGATCGCAATAGGTATCGCGAAACATTACCTATTGTTTGGAGGACGATAAACATACTTGTATATTTGTGATCTATATTGATGACTAGCTGTCGCCCGCGACTCCGTCCGCGCGGAATTAAAAAAAAACTATTGGTCGCTAAAGCTAAAGCCTTCCTCTATAAATGGACTATCCAACAAAAAAAGATTTTTTCCAATCGAACCAGTACTTCCTGAGATTAGCTCGTTTAAACAAACAAACAAACTCTTCTGCTTTATAATATCAGTATAGATTAAAGGATGCCTACTGTAAAACAAACATTAACCGTAAGGTTTCACTGCTAAAACCTGCACAAAAGGTTATTTTGCATCTATTAAATAAAAATATATCTATGAACAGGTGTCAGTGTAGACTTACTTTTAGAACGTACATGACGAGTAATACCAAACTGAACGGAAACATTATAATACATGGAATATAAATATCTTCCGGGTTTACACGCGGCTTAGGGAAATATGGTACACGAAAGTCGCTTGTAACTGCCGAGTTCAAACAAGCCATGTTTTATTAAAACTCGGTTGTGCGGTATGCGTATAGCATTAAATGCTACGAACAATAGCATAGCACAGAGTACTTTAACTATAGACACTTCTAAATTCCTTTAAACACTTCCTTGAATAGATAATACTTTAAATTATAGTAGATAGCGATGCCCGCGACTCCGTCTGCGCGGAATTAAAACACTTCATTAATACCTTATTTGTTTTTCCAGACTATATTCTACATCTATAACAAATCTCAGCAAGATCCATGCGGCCGTTCTGGAGATACTTTCAAACATCCATCCATCTCATCATTCACATTTAAAATATTATCATAGTAAGATGTATGATTTATTTTATAATTTTCTTATAATTCAATACAATAACTAGCCAGTATAAGTTGCAAAATATCAAAACAATACCGTACTAAGTGCAAGCAAAACGTTTAAAAACATATACTATCCCATGGATAGGAATGTGATCATGTTAACTACGAAAGATTTTATTCCAATCATGTTCTTAGTTTTTTCCGTACACTCTATCGGTGATTTTGTTTGTTTTTTTTAATTATTTTATTTTTTAGTCGCTGTCTATAGTTTAGTAATCTGTGCACTGGTATGTGCCACCTGGTACCGGTCTGCGCGGGGTTTGAATCCATAATCAGTTCATTGATTACGCGTGAGCGGTGCTAAGTGTTGTCCTAACTGCTATAAATCAACAATTTTCTATGTTATAGTAGATTAGTATCGATTGTGAGTGGAATTAATTTTTATATATTATCTTAAAATGTTTTTGTAAAACGATGTTATAATATTTTATTCTGTTAATTTATAAATTGATTGTGATTTTTTAAATTATGGAATAATATTTTATAAATATTGTATAATTCCAAAAACGGACTAAATTATTGATTAATTAGGATATTATGGTCATTGTTCTGACTTCTTAAAAACTAGCGAACGGTCTTTAATTCTAGGTAATAATAATAATAATAAAGCCATTTATTTCCTTACAGAAAAATCATACAATAAAATTTATAATGTAACTACTTTTTTTTTAACTATCTGTAGGAACCCCTGTTCGGGTAAAGGCCTCCTCCAAAGATGCCCAATTTTCTCTATCTTGAGCCACGTGTAATAATACAAAACCATTTTATCAGCGATTAGTTTAATCTATACCCTTTTAAATGGTCTACCAGGGAAAGCCGGGATACTTTATTAGTATTATAAATCTCAAGAAACACAACGAGACAATATTTAATAAATGATAAAGTCACTAATAGATTCACAATTAATTTCGACCTCTCTGTCAGTAGCTACTCTGTACACTTGCAATTACTTGATGCATACGCAAAGGAAGTAGCCGACACTGGATATCAGGGAGGCTTTATAGCTAAGATTACGCCCGCATACAGCCTGCGAAGTTAATCAGCGTTACTGTAGCATAGCACAACACAATGGCCACTAAAACCCTTTATTACGAGCCTCGTTTGCTAACCTTAACTTGTAACTTACATAAGGTCATAAGAACATGCTTGTAAGGAAAATAGAATGAATAAAATGGGTCCTACTATGTCGCAACCTATTTATGGAGATTACACTTGTGCTTTTTGAAGGCTCTTATAAAAACTTATTATTCTGAATTCAAATTTTAATACTTTCCATCATGATATAGAGATTTGAATATATTTTTAAAATAAGAACACCTCGACATAATTGCATTTTTTTGAGTTATGGCTATGTCCGTAGGGGCCATCAATTGTTACGTTAATATTATTATGAGAGAGATACAGTCAATATTTGACAATGAAAGGGATTCCTAGCAAGAGAAGATATTATTTTTCTTTGGGTTCTCTCCTCCGTCGTCATTTAAATTATTGTTATCATTGAAGTTCACTTACCTATTATTTATGCGTTTATTACTATAAAAAGAAAAAATCAAACTTACCTAATAGGCTTAGACTGGCTATCCAACTGGCCTGCTGGTCACTGACTGTGAAGGAGGCATTCTTATGATGAGGGTCCTGCATGGAAGCGATAGCCGGCGACATGTATCCTTTGCTGAGGCCCGCCGCGAACGGGCCCAGGGACACTGCTAGGGCCGCCAAGATCTGTGGAATAGTAAAGGCAAATATAAATTTCTGTAAGATAGAGTGAACAACAAGATGGACGTGACTTTTATTACTAGTGTTAAATGCAGATGCGTTATTTGAACCTAGACCTCTATACATGGACAGGCTACAAATCGTCGTATTTTGTGCCCGTTTGATTTCCGCCATTTTGGCGCTGACTATTCCGGTTTATAGCTGTGGTGAGGATATGAACTAATAATAGAGTTGGAATTAACTGTCAAGAACATCAACAATCGCGTTTAAATCGGAACAGAGCCAAAGCTGTCATCTTCAAGGAATTGCCTATCCATCCATACAGAAAAGTAAATAAAAAATAGGGTAAGCAAAAGTTAAAAAAGTAAGTCCGTAACTTTCTTAAAATGTTCTTTTTGAAATCATCAATGGTTTGAAACTTCATAAATTTCGCCACTTTGTTATGGTGCCAAGCAATCTAAAGGTCATAGCCCCCGACCGCGTGTGTACCAGGCGGACATAAATCTGTAGGAGACGTTCGGAATCCGGAAACTCGACTAAAAATATCAATAGCTATAAAAAAGGCCGAAACCATCTCAACTGTTTGTATGGATACACTATGCTTATGGACTCCTAGTAAATAGAACTGTATAAAATCGATCAATGTTTCAAGAGTGGTGTATTGTGGTAGTGTTGTGATTTTTATCGACATCGATTAAATAGGTTATCGATAAAATAGAAAAACAATTTGTATTCAACCGTATGATTGTTGTGATGATAAATAATTAATTTCTTACTTGAACTTGACCTAAACCGTTTAATTATTAGGTAATTTTTCGATACCGGATTTGATTCATAATTATTATCAGCGGAAAATAAAACTTAAAAATAATTTACGACTATCCCGAATCTTATTAACTTGTAAATTAATACGGACTTCGTAATTCAAGACGCCGTTAAACTAATTTTATTATCAATTAATGTCTAAATGCATTGCCGATCTCATTAATATGAATAAAAATAGATAAAAAAATGTTAATATCGTATAATGAATAAATTATCGATAAATATATTTTATTGGAATGAGAACATCACTGATCACTTTATTCAAAACGTCAGAACATTCGGGAGGTCAACGACCGGCATACTGCCATACATTTTATCCCCCTCCACAATTTTATATTTACACTTATAACAAGCTATTTTTAACTCTATTTCTTAGCGCATAAAGTTCACACTAACTATGTTATATAATGGTATTTTGACGACTTAAAATTATCGACTCATTTGTTACGCTAAAATGACAGAAGATGTTATAATACATTGCATAATAGACTTAATGTATAAGACGCAATAGATTCTAAATGGTTTGTACTCGTTTGTACTTTAATTGACTCTTACTCAAAGAAGTTCTCAGTTTTAAATTAGTGAAGAGACGTAAGAATTTAAGGCTAATTATCGATTTTGATACTAGCTATCGTCTGCGACTACGTCCGCACGAAACAAAATTTAATTAGTATCCTATGTGTTCTTTCAGAGTATGTTCTACATTACAAAAAAATAAATAGTTCAGATCACAACCCAGTTTTGTTTAGTCTTTTATTTTAATCATCTTCATCAGCTCATTATTCGTCCCCACCGAGGGGCTCGGAGCCTACCCTAAGTTAGTGACTTGGCCATAGTCAACCACGCTGGCCAAGTGCGGGTTCACTTCACACATATCTTTGAATTTCTTCTCAGATATGAGCCGCATCACGATATTTTCCTTCACCTTAAGAACGTCGGATAAATGTACATATGTAAAATGGAAAAACACATTTTTAAATGACGGTATTCGAACCCAAGAACTTGCAGATTGCAAGTCAAGTGCTTGACCCCTGAGACATCGACGTTCTATTTCTATATATAGTTCTTATAATCCATCACTAGATGGCGTGGTACATTTGTGCAAATAGAAGACGACCTAAATCAATCTTGTACGAGGAAATCCTACAAGATCTCTATATAATCAAATTAATCAAACCGTGATATTTATTAATATATATTACGTTATATAAAATAGCTTGTTTTGACATATAACCTATAAATTATATTTTTTTTTGTGTTTGTTTTTTTTCAAAAAATCTACAGCTTTGTTACAAAATATGTACAACATAATAATAAATTTTGAACAGACCTATTGATTTTATAATATAATTATTATTTTTGAAAAGTTTTTAGAGCGTCCGTGGCTCAGGGGATTCAACACTTGACTTGCAATCTGCAGGTCCTGGGTTCGAATCCCGCCATGTACCAATGTGTTTTTCCATTTCCGATTTACATATGTACATTTATCCGACGTTCTTACGGTGAAGGAAAACATCGTGATGTTGCATATATCTGAGAAGAAATTCAAAGATATGTGTGAAGAGTCAACCCGAACTGTGCTAGCGTGGTTGATTATGGCTTAGTCACCCTTAACTTAGGGTAGGGTAGCTCCGATCTCCTCGGTGGGGATATATTGTGAGCTGATGATTAAGTTTTGAAAATATTTTAATTTATGCGCGCAAGTGAGTGTGTATGTGGGGATGTGCTTCAATTTGTTTAAAATATAACTTATTATTCAAAATTTCGTGTCGTAGTGTGAATTTAAATCGACTTACACTATTAATATACTTTTGGCTAAAAAGATAGTCAGAAATTTCAACAACTTTTCTCATGTTGGATTATTAACAATGGAATACAGGGTGTTTACAAATATTTGAACCGTAAAAGTACTAAGAATGCGTTAAGTGCAGGTGTTTAGTAGAAGATTTGTTTCTTTTTTAAACGAGGAATAAAGCCTAATTAAAAATAGATTTCTAGAAAGATTACTTTTTAAGAAAACGTTTGAAGGATTGGATGGATGTATGTTAGAAGGTATCTCCAAAACGGCTGCATGGATCTCGTTGAAATTTGACACAAATGTAAAACATAGTCTGGAAAAACACATAGTATACTAATTAAGTTTTTTTTTTAAATTGTAGATGGACGGAGTCGCGGCCGACAGCAAGTCATTATAAATGTCAACGTTTAAATGGATGGATGTTTGTTAAAAAGGTATCTCCTGAACTCTCATGGATTATGATGAAATTCAATACAGACATAGATTAATTTCTAGATTAAAATATAGACTATATTTCACACCCGACAAATGTTTCCAAGATATTTTTGTTTTTAACATAAATACTAAGTTTTTTTTATAATAAATTCCATGTGTATGATATTTAGTGCATAAAGACTACATACCTGTCTTCTATATCCATGTCTTCCGTCAGTAGACCTCATCATCATGATCCTCGTCTCCGGCGTGATGTTCGTCATCTTCCCACCGAGTACCGCCTTCTCACACATATACACTGCTTTGCAAAACTGTCACTAATTACACTAGATGTCACTCAGTTCGTATCATTCGACTTCCTCACTTCTCATTGTATTTCGATTCGGTTATCTGTAACAAAAGAGAATCATATTAATTTGTGTATAATAATAATTGGCAAAAATTAACTTAAAATTATAGAATGTTTTTTGATGTTGTCTTTTAAAAGGTTAATAAAAAATTACGCTTAATTAAATTAACTTTTATATTTTCAAACATACTGTAGTTTTCCATCGTCAAGATGATTTAAAATGTGACCTTTTAATATGTTTTACATACCAATTATTTAGACTAACAATCACAACAAAAATTTAACAAACTAAATCTTACGATTGCAAAAAAAATTGAAAATCGGAACGCCACGAGAGAAGTTACGCGTTAACGTAATCCAGAATTGATAACGTCTTTTTGACGGCAAAAAAGATGATATACAATCGAAGGGAATACTAAAGAAACTTATTCTCATAACAGTAGCCCGTACCATAAGAACACAGGCACAGTACTGAGAGGTACAAATGCAAGAACATTGATCGAACATCAAAACAATCAATTGTCTTATAGACAATTACAAAGCAGACAAAAGACATACGTAAAAACGCGTATAGAATGCGACCACAGAGTAACGTATCACAGAAGTACCAATTATAAAAAAACAATGTGTAAATTTTCTTTTTTATAAATCATAAGGTGGCAAACGAGTGAGCGGCCACCTGAAATCGCTGAAATACCGAAGTGACTGTTGCCCATAGACATACGCAATTATATATGCGTTGCCTACCTTTAATCGACGGAGGAGAGGATGCACAGAAAGAAATTTTTTTCCCTTTCCATTCATCCTCTCATCCGGAAAGTCCATTTCTACTTCCCATCCTTCTCTTATAAGAAAAAGGGTGGGAAGGGAAAGAGGACTAAATTAGGCCTCCGGGACGCACACTCATCAGACCACACGCGGAATTGCTTCCACTTGATGCCTGCCTACTGTGTGTTCGGTATTTCACCGGGCGAGCTAGGCTAATTCGTGCGAAGATGTTAAAGCGGGCTCTACCACTATTTTGAAATATTTGGAAGTGGACTTTCCGGATGAGAGGATGCATGGAAGGGGAAAATATTGTCTTTCTGTGCACCCTCTCCTCCGTCGATTAAAGGTAGGCAACGCATATACAATTGCGTATGTCTATGGGCAACGGTCAATTCGCTATTTCAGCGATTTCAGGTGGCCGCTCGCTCGTTTGCCACCTTATGATATAAAAAAAACAACGTAGTAATGTGAAGTCGGATCAAAACTCTTGTGTTTAAAAACAATTGATTTTTCACCCTTTAGGTAATCTCTAAGAAAACATTTTAGATCTTATGATTGTGTATTGAATAGCTGTCGTCAGTCCGAGAGGAATTAAAAACAAATATTATTAGCCTATGTTATGATCTATATCTATGTTAAATGTTAACGAGATCCTTACAGCCGTTCTGGAGATATGTTCAAACAAACATCCATCCATCGAAACATTCATATTTATAATATTAGTAAGATTATGAACTTCCAAAACTATTTTAGTTCAACACGGTGTTGACGCACAACATAAGGCATGCACTACACTGTTATGCTATGCTATGCTATGTTTGTTGTATCGCAACGCATTCTTTATTGTTTAGATTTCAATGGAACGTTTACAAACAACTGCAGTTGTTTACCTGTTTAAGAAAACATATTATTATGTTTATAAAGATATGAAAAAGAAAATATCCTCTTTCTATGCGTCCTCTTCATCGTACTTAGGCAACGGTCGCCGCTTAATCGCTTGCCACCTTATATATAATATATATAAGATTCAAAACCAATATAAATAAACTACTAAATAAAACTACGTTTTATATTATTGTTGATAGGATTGTCGATTTTGTTTGCCAATTATAAAGTTACAGTAAGGTTATGTTACATTAATTTGTTATTGTAAGCAAGTTGGCTGTTTATAGCGGCCGGCACGGCTAACGTAACGTAAATTATACCGGAATAAACTAAATTCATTTAAATTAAGAACATTACAATCAGTGTGTACTACGCTTTATTTGTAATTGGAACAATAAACACGAGTTTTAGAAGAAAAAAAAAAGCGCCTGCGAAATATTATTAAAATTACTAAAGTTCTACAAACGAGTAATCTGTTTATTTAATTGGAATTAAATTCTTCCAGTTTACATTAAAACTTTTAGATATGATTAATTAGAATCCTTAGGCGCGAATGACGTGCTTTCGTTACAAAGTCAAATGTCAGATTGATTAGTGAGGGGACAAACGTCGACATTTTAGTAAGGCTAGTGTTGCGCCAGTACACCGGCACAGTGTCGGAATTTTTTCCCACCAAAACCCATTATTTATATTACACATATCTCAGTAATGTAATACGCGAGCTATACCAAAAAAAGAAGAAGAAAAGATTGAAACAATTTGACAAACATGTAAAAAATATCTTATATATAAAATTCTCGTGTCACAATTTTCGTTCCCATCCTCCGAAACGGCTTGACCGATTCCCATGAAATTTTGTGAGCATATTGTGTAGGTCTGAGAATCGGCTACTATCTACTTTTTATCCCGTATCTTTTATTTATAGAATCCCGCGCGGACGGAGTCGCGGGCGTCAGCTAGTGCTCTTATAAAAATGTTGCATGAAAAGTTTTTTTTTTTAATCCTGTTAATATATATATCACTGTAAATTAATCGAAAGTCTAAACAGAATCTTACATCCGAATTTATGTTTAATAAATACACACAGACATAAATGTGTCGGCTTTATTTTTGTTCTCAGTATTGAATTACGTCAATACAAAACTTTATAAACTGTGTTAAATGAAATCCTGTTTTCATATACAAAACGGAAATTATCTTTACCCGTGGCCCGCGACTTTGTCTGTTTAATTAAAAATACTTAATTAGTAGCCTATGTGTTCTTCCAGACAATGTAATCCCTTACAGCAAGATCCGTGCAGCTGTTCTGAAGATATCTTCAAACAAACATCCATTCATATGAACATTCGCATTTATAATATTAGTAAGATACAGTTATTACATTAACAATCAATCTCACTTGTCATATTATAAACTGACGGCAGTTAAAGACAATAATTCAACCTAACATTCAACTTTGAACATAGAAATTAGCAACAATATTACTAGTATAATACAAGAGACCGTGAGAGGTCGACCTATGTATAAATGTTCATGGCTATATTTGACTGATTTTTTTAATATGTTAATCAATAACATCAGCTCACTATACGTCCCCACTGAGGGGCTCGGAGCCTACCCTAAGTTACGGGTGACTAGGCCATAGTTAACCACGCTGGCCCAGTGCGGGTTGACTTCACACATATCATTGAATTTCTTCTCAGATATGTGCAACATTACGATGTTTTCCTTCACCGTTAGAACGTCGGATTAATGTACATATGTAAATCGGAAATCGTAAAACACCTTGGTACATGGCGGGATTCGAACCCAGGACCTGCAGATTGCATGTCAAGTCAACCCCTGAGCCACAGACGCTCTTAATCAATAACATTTGACAAAAATATGTCTCATTTGGTAATAAAATACGTAAAGGTCGATCTCCCACTAGCTCTTAGACTAGCCAAAGCGGCAAAGCGAAGCAACTGCTGCACAGGGATGGTGGACAAAGTATTCGCTTCGGAGCGATTCCATAACGAAATTCACAAATAGATGAAATTGACGTGCGACAATCACATGACTTATCGAAAGTTATGTCATGGAATCGCCTCGAAGCGAATGCATTTTGTCTAACTCCGAGACATTCGCAATTGATGACAATTTATCACATGTAGAAAGTTGCCAGTTTCAAGATTCGAAGATAACCTAAAAAAATATTCTGTTTCCAAAATAAATTCGCTAGAAATCGATAGCATTCGATCTTTCTTTGTTTAAACAAGCTCGAACAAGAACATCTATCCAAAGTATCGATTTACGGAAGACTTTACACACGTCATGCGTCACTTTGGGACATTTACGAGATGAGACACGAAAGATGGACATATTTACTTTAAGCAAACTAAATTGCATAGCGGTAGCCCGCGACTTCTTTAGCTTCGAAAAAAACCTATAACATGCCGGCGTGTCTACCTTCTCATCAAAGTAAAGTCTAATAAGTAAAATCTGTCAAAGCATTCCGGAGATTTTTAAACAAACGCTGCCTTGCGGACAGACATACAGACGAACAAAAATTTTATAAATTAATTGTTGTTATTAGCAACGCATCGTGTCTACGAAATGTGATATTTTTCTCAATATTATAATACATACAGACAATCCAATTTTATTATTATATTTAGATTGATTACACAACTTTACTTATTGAATTATTTCTGAGACGAACATAAGCAACACTAAGGGATAGATTCGATATCTGATTATTTCTGCGCAACATAGAATCGAGGTATAGACATATTAGTTATTTAAACTATTCGAATAATAAAATAACACCAAATAAACAGTACCATATGTCATCCAGTCCAGTTCCGTATAAGATGATAATTTTAACCATCAAAGTAATTCACGAGACTGTCCGCTAGGTGGCGACTGACAGCTACAATCCGAAACGTCCGCGTTCCATACAATACAATTAGACAAATACGTTTAAAATTCCACGCATACTGTGTGTTTCCATTGAAGAAACATTGTACAGAAACATATCATTTCTCGCATCATGGAAAAACACAGTAAACCAAATTATAATAATTTTTTTTTTTAGGAGAAGGGGGCAAACGAGCAACGAATCGCCTAATATTATTTGATCCGACGCCCATTGACATCCATAACGTCAGAGGAATCACAGATGCGTTGCCGGCCTTTAAGGAAGGTGTACGCTCTTTTCTTTTGTTTTTATTAACATAATTATTTTTGACTAGCTCAATTATTTTGTCAAAGATAATCACAGGGATGACGATATGATTTATACAGAGTTTTTGATTTCAGAAACTTACGATTAGTGTTTGGTTTTGTGTTAATTTTCAAGTACTACTTAAGCAAAATTTTCTCTATACAAACTTTCATTTCCTTAAAC